TTTAATTATTTGATTCCCTATTCTTCTTACTCTCTCTAAATAGCCTGAGATCTGAATATCACATGCTTATCTGATGGCTAAAGCTCTCGCTTCACATGGCGAGGGTCCCGTTCGATTCCCAGCCAGGGGTAGAAACATTGGACGTGTTTCCTTACACCGGTAAAATGGGTACCTGGGTGTTCGTCGACTGGTGTGGGTCACATCCTGGGACAAAACTGACCTAATTTGCCGGAAATACTCAGCATAACAAGCGGCTTTCTGTGTAGTAGTATGTCATTAATGTTAGCTAGGACTGTATACCTTGTACATGTACTTGTAGAAATCAAGATATTATTTGTGGAAAATTAAATTTACCTGGATGTAACTCATAAGGTACATACCAGTAAATGGTAACAAAGATAATTATTCTTTATCAAGGTTACAGAGACAAGTAGGAATTTTAGGACACCTAGGTCGCAAAAAAATGTCCCCCTTCGATACCTACCATAATCTATCTCTCCACAAGTCACTCTGGACCTATATTAATTTCAAATGAAATATACATCACCAGGAATTCTGGTAAAAACATTAATACAAATATGTGGACTATATTAAATTTAAAATGTGAATACATATACATTGAAGGAGAATTTATAATAATAAGACTCACCAATTAGTCTGGAGTTTACGATGTGTCATACCCCCCCCTGCCTAAATATGAAGAAAATACTGGCCAGAATCTCAACATAAATAGACATCGATTTAGTTGGGGTTCCTAAGCTGTCCTGTCCATCTGTTTAATGCTCACATTATGCAGGACTGCAAATCTAACAATTTCGGGAAGTTTCAAACACAGTTTAACTTCCAGAACGACGAAATTCATGCACATTTTCTTAGCGTGCCTGTACCACATTCAAAAACAATGGCGTCTCCTCCCTGCTCGTCAGCGCAGGCACAGAGCTTCCCTGTCGGTTCTCTTGTTTAAAATACACTTTAGAGCAATAGTAATGTATTAATCAGGTATATTTACATTATAAAAAATATACCTGGAGTTTACCTGGAGAGAGTTCTGGGGGTCAACGCCCCCGCCATCCGGTCTCTGACCAGGCCTCCTTGTAGATCAGAGCCTGATCAACCAGGCTGTTACCGCTAGCTGCACACAAACCAATGTACGAGCCACAGCCTGGCTAGTCAGGTACCGACTTTAGGTGCTTGTCCAGTGCCATCTTGAAGACTGCCAGAGGCCTATTGGTAATCCCCCTTATGTATGCTGGGAGGCAGTTGAACAGTCTTGGGCCCCTGACACTTATTGTATTGTCTCTTAACGTGCTAGTGACACCCCTGCTTTTCATTGGGGGATGTTGCATTGTCTGCCAAGTCTTTTGCTTTCATTGTGAGTGATTTTCGTGTGCAAGTTCGGTACTAGTCCCTCTAGGATTTTCCATGTGTATATAATCATGTATCTCTCCCGCCTGCATTCCAGGGAATACAGGTTCGGGAACTTCAAGCGCTCCCAGTAATTGAGTTGTTTTATCTCCGTTATGCACACCGTGAAGGTTCTCTGTACATTTTCTAGGTCAGCAATTTCACCTGCTTTGAAATATGCTGTTAGTGTGCAGCAATATTCCAGACTTGATAGAACAAGCGACCTGAAGAGTGTCATCATGGGCTTGGCATCCCTAGTTTTGAAGGTTCTCATTATCCATCCTGTCTGTGGAAAATAAATTCCCATAATTATACTGTATATATTTTTATAATGTAAATATACATGATTAATGCATTACTGTTGTTCTAAATTGTATTTTGAATAGAACCAACCGGGTTCACCCGGCGCCTGCGCGGATGTGCGGGAGGGACAGGTCGAGTCAGGGCATGGAGAGGCGGCAGTGTTTTGAATGGGTTTAAGAGGCTGTGAAAACATGGGACCAGGAAACTGGCGTTCACGGCGGCCTAAGGATTAATATAGGCCTCACTTCATAATAGGAAGTGCTGTGACTGTCCCTGGTGAAGAATGAGGGAACGTGATTGATGGCACCGCTGTAATAAGTGGTAAAATTAGTGAATAATGGTAGGACCGGGGGTGATGGGTGCACCGCCATGGAATGTGTCCAGGGAAATTACCAGTGAGTTAATCCTCACTCATCGGTCTCAGATCTTAATGGAGTGACCTCTAATGTGTATAATAATTATGAGACATTAAATCGTCTTGTGAATTGTAATGTAATTAATGATAATAACACTAAGTTAAGAGAATGCGTGAAGTGAAATAAATCGCCTTGCTCCGAGTGAACACGTTAGACCGCGCTGTTCCCGTCCCGAGGATAGTGAAGTTTTATGGAGTCACGACTTCTAAACTGGGACAAACCAACGGATACCTCGTCCTGCTGGAATAAGAACCGTATCGGTGTAGCAGGACATCGAAATGAGATGGTGAATGGAGGAAATAAGGAGTATCAATCACCCACAGTTAAGTAACCCTTCTAGTTATAGCAGACTGATACTGGCCAGTTAGGTATGTTGTAATTGGATAGGTTATGGGTGATCCAGCTACATCAAGTGACCACCAGAGGATATCTGGTAAGTGGTGGGATTATGTACAAATGTTTTTCCTTGATGGATATATCCATGTGTAACCCCCCCCCCCCTTCATTCAGTTAAACTAATATAATCTATACAGTCCACAATTAATTAGTAGCGCCGTACTTGGGGGTGCTATGCAATGTATACTAGTCTCGGATAGATACAGATAAGATTGTGAGGTAGAAGGCCCACCTGCAGTGACCAGGGGTGGTGAAGTTTTCTCACTTGTCTACACGGGGTGACTACGGTAAACAATATAGTGTTGTCTCCCAATGAGATTACTTGTATGTATATAATGTTGAGGTACATACAGGTAATCACCCCTATAAAATTTTCCATACTGTCATTTTTTCTAGCAGCTGCGATTGATGCAATGTTATGGTCCTTGAAGGTGAGATCCTCCGACATGATCACTCCCAGGTCTTTGACGTTGGTGTTTCGCTCTATTTTGTGGCCGGAATTTGTTTTGTACTCTGGTGAAGTTTTAATTTCCTCGTGTTTACCATATCGGAGTAATTGAAATTTCTCATCGTTGAACTTTAAATTGTTTTCTGCAGTCCCTTGAAAGATTTGGTTGATGTCCGCCTGGAGCCTTGCAGTGTCTGCATTGAAAGACACTGTCATGCAAATTCGGGTGTCATCTGCAAAGGAAGACACGGTGCTGTGGCTGACATCCTTGTCTATATCAGTATGAGGATGAGAAACAAGATGGGAGCGAGTACTGTGCCTTGTGGAACAGAGCTTTTCACCGTAGCCGCCTCAGACTTTACTCTGTGAGGAAATTATAGATCCATCTACCAACTTTTCCTGTTATTCCTTTAGCACGCATTTTGTGAGTTATTACCCCATAGTCACACTTGTCGAAGGCTTTTGCAAAGTCTGTATATATTACATCTGCATCCTTTTTGCCTTCTAGTGGATCTAGGACCTTGTCGTAGTGATCCAATAGTTGAGACAGACAGGAGCGACCTGCTCTAAACCCATGTTGCCCTGGGTTGTGTAACTGATGGGTTTCTAGGTGGGTGGCGATCTTGCTTCTTAGGACCCTTTCAAAGATTTTTATGATATGGGATGTTAGTGCTATCGGTCTGTAGTTCTTTGCTGTTGCTTTACTGTCCCCTTTGTGGAGTGGGGCTATGTCTGTTGTTTTCCACATTATTATTATTATTATTATTATATTATTATTATTATTATTATTATTATTATTATTATTATTATTTGTATTCCCTCTTTCTTAGGCCTCTGAAAGCTTGATTGAGTTGATAACTTGGCTAAAATAGCATAAAATAAGAGAATGTCGAATATTCAGGTCTCAGGCTATTCAAAACAAGTAATCAGGAGAGGGAGGAAGACGCCTATGATATTTTTTATATGAATTTTATATGGAGTGTGAAGTGAGTAGACAGCTTAATATTTTTATTATGCACCCTATACCCATCCTGTGGGCGGTACTCAAAAGATTAAATGAGGTACATAATTGGTCCAGGGACTGGACTCCAAAGTTTTGAGAGCTGAACTAGATTTATTTATTTACTTATTTATTTATTTATTTAATGTCTTTGCAAACAGCACATTGAGATGTTATATTTACAATAGTGGGTTGCAATGCAAAGAGAGCCTCTATTATGCCTAGGCATTATGGGCCAACATTACGATAAAATAAGATTTCGTTCGGATTTTTAACCCCGGAGGGTTAGCCACCCAGGATAACCCAAGAAAGTCAGTGCGTCATTGAGGACTGTCTAACTTATTTCCATTGGGGTCCTCAATCTTTTCCCGTAGGATGCGACCCACACCAGTCGACTAACACCCAGGTACCTAAATGCTGCTAGGTGAACAGGACAACAGGTGTAAGGAAACGTGTCGGAATGTTTCCACCCGCCGGGAATCGAACCCGAGCCCTCCGTGTGTGAAGCGGGAGCTTTAGCCACCAGGCCACCATTAACATTATTGGCTTACAGACTACTTAACACTAAGGATTGTATCATAATTGTACAGTAGGATAGTAATTATTTCATAGTTGTACAGTAGATTATTAATTATAAGTGAATTAAATTTGTATAAGTCTAAGGATATATTCATATAGTCTAAAATGCTTTTTGTGAAAACAATGGTTCAATTATATTCCTGTCAACAATGGATAAAAGGTTCAAAGTGATTGTTGAAGTTATGATGTGGGAATACATAGGTGAGTATGTGTGTACTGAGTATCTAACATTTAGTCTAGGGTGAGATATGGTCACCCCAATGGAAATAGGTCACTCAGTCTGACTTTTTTGGGTTATCCTAGGTTCTCTACACATATGCTGCTATGTATGATAATTCTATGTAACTGTATTTGTGTATACCTGAATAAACTTACTTACTTACTTAAGTTTGGAGTGTCCTGTACAGTATTATCCTCCTTCATGCCCGGGTAACCCAGAACTAGAACGGTAATGTGTATACGGCTCCTCGAGTTCCCACCACGTACACCAACACGGCTCTTAAAATTAACACCAATTTTACACCAACACCGCCACCACCACCACCAACACTTGAGCACACACACACTAGGACACCTCCCGAAGAAACTCCTGTTAAGTGAACAAGATAATGATCTCGCTTAGAAGCTTGGTGAGGTCGCCTGCAATGTCTGCTACGCGACCTCTGTGCTCTGTAAGAACCACAATTATTGCACATCATTATCAGTTAATACCTTTATTATGCACCTCATCCAGTCCCTGGGTAATAGTCAGAAGATTCGACATACACATAATGGGTCCAGGGGACTAGACCAACTATTTAAAATTCACGAGTCTGCCCGGAATGCCCCGGCATGAGTGGTTTTCTTTGTAATTAACGCATCAAAATTGTAATTGCACATTGTAAACTATGCAGAGAAATAAAATCCTTAATCTGGTGTTAGTGGGAAGGTGTATCCAGTATTATATTACCATCATTCTGGAAAATTACCCTAACAATGTCTGTTGTAACTAACTCATAATTAGTTGTCTAAATTTACACATACTTCTAGAATAATATAAATAAATCAAAACCACATATGGACTACAAGATCAATATACTGTGAAACAATATCACAAATGAATCCTGCGCTGTGACCCTTGTAGGTTTAGTGCTTTTTTTATTATAATATTACAAATGAATGACTTAATTGTTTAATCATATCTAATATTATTATAGACATGCAAAGTAGACAGGAAATAATTTAAAACAAAGTTGTATAACCCAGTAAGACCATTATAGAATTAACGTAAATTTCCACTCCAATTACATATGGTCCCCCATGTGACAAGTTACTACTACAGAAATAAAGGAAAATAAACAAAATACATAAACCACCAAATTAGGAAATAAAATGGTTAAAACATTAAAATATAAGGCATGTCAATGCATACAATAGATAAAAATCAAAGAATTACAAGTTGAAGATTGAGACACTATAGCATTTATCACAAAGAATTACAAATAATCTTCACACTGCTCACAAAATCCAGAATATCTTGCTGCTAAGTTTGTAAAAGCTGGGAACCAAAGCAATTATAGTACCAGGGGAAGGGAACACAACTTTGTAGTACCCACAGTCAGTGATCAGGCTTCAAACACTTTTTATTTTACAGCAATAAAGGAGTGGAACAAACTGCCTGGACATGTCAGAGAATGTCACAGCATGAGCCAGTTTAAGAAGAGAACCAAAAGATACCTGATGAAAGTAGCTACAGAAAGGGAGGAGAGTGATTTCTTGCATGGCTAACATACATGTACCTATTATTGTGAGCTGATCCTATCTTTAATGTAAATAATGCACTTTATCTTATTCCTAGTGTATCTCCTTATATTGCTTAAGTAATGTTACTACAAGGACCCCAATGGAAATAAGTCACCTTGTCTGACTTTTTTGGGTTATCCTAGGTTCTCTACACATATGCTGTTATGTATGATATGTATGCTATGTATGTTAATCTGTGTAACTATTTATGTGTGCCTGTACCTGAAAAAGCTTACGTTGGCTTCTAGGACCACAAGCCCAGAAACAGGAACCTAATTAATAGTCTAGCTTAAATAATTTTACTCGGGTATAGGTACACATAGTATAGTAACTCAACTACGTGAAAAGCAGTTACAATAAAAACTGGTGTGAAGAGTAGCATCTCCAAGGCTGAGGGACTGATTACCTCATCTTTTGTATATAGTTCTACTATCTTCAAATTATGTCCTAATTTGTATTGATAAAGCCACTGGATGGCAAAATGTCTACATTAAAGATTCCCAGATGTTGCATAAATGTCTAATTTTCATCTTGTTGGTATTGTATACCATTCATGTAGTTAAATATACTAAATGCTGTTGGTTATATAGGGAATGTGTCTATATAAAACACCTAGTAAAGATTTGGAAATATGTAATACTGACAGTGCCTATGCACAATATTATTTCCATGAACATGAATGTAGTTTATCTGTAAGTGTACATATTGAAACACTGTAGAAAGTTGTCTTAATAAAATTTTTCCTTTGTAATATTAGTCAGCTTATTATCAAATAAGTATAAATTCTTTATAATTTTTTATTTAAATAGAAAAAATGTACAAATGGTAGAATAACAGTAAAATATAAAGAAATATAGTAACAAAATGTATTGACATTTTATTTAATAATAGCTCATTATCCCATAAATACTCAGTAATAACACTACTTGTCCTTATCATTTCCTTCCTGTCAGCTTGTACAGAACAGGGCCACTTATTCCACATCACCATCACAAGATGGAACAGGACAGCAGCAAAAGCAGGAGAAACAACAGGAGGAGGCAACTGAGGTGTGGAAACAGAAGGGAAGAATCCACTCCAAGAAGTCTATAAAGGTGGAGTTGGTGGGGGGCAAGAGGTACCTGTGGTGTGCCTGTGGCTACAGCAAAAACCAAGTGGGTGTTAAATTTGTTCCAACAAAGCAATTCAATAATCTTTTCGATCATTTACTCATTTTACAATATAAAATGGTACCTCAAGTTTCGAACAGCTCCCAACTCGAACAATTATGTAAGTGTATTTTTGTAAGTGCTTTTGTAAGTGAATTTTGGGGGGGTCTGATATGGACTAATCTAATTTACATTATTCCTTATGGGAATAAACTCGTTCGGTATCGGCACTTGAACAGTCTTCTGGAACGAATTAAGTTCATAACTCGAAGTACCACTGTATATTGGAAATACTGGAGACTACTTTATATGTTGCATGGAAGGTTATAATAAGCAAAAATGATATATTTATGTGCAGTATGCAGTATATTTAACCCATATTAAACATGTAACAGTAATTCAAGTTAAAGGCCTATCTAAACTTTACTCTTGTTTTGTGTAATAATTTTTCTTGAATGTTCACGGTGCCCCATGGCCTGGTGGCCAAAGCTCTTGCTTCACACGGCGAGCGTCCGGGTTTGATTCCCAGCGAAGGGTCGCATCCTGGGATAAAACTGACCTAATTTTCCTGAAATGCTCTACATAACAAGCGGCTTTCTGTATAGTAGTATGTCATTGATGTCAGTTAGGCCTGTATACCATGTACATGTACTTGTAGAAATAGATATTATTATTATAAATGAAATTTTGCCATAGGTTCATTATTTTACCATATGGGCCATTTCCACCATGGTGGGGGTGATCCATTATCATTCATACACTAAATGACAAGACAGATGCTGAATGGGTTATGGTGAGTTTTTTTTCTTTGGGTCACCTACTTTTGTAAGAAATAGTTAATGTGGTAAATGTAATACGTATATACTGCACATTGGGAAAATAGACAAAAATGTAATACAAAATGCAATCCTTTATATAATAAACTTTGAAACTAGAGAATAATATGGTATAACAATAAATCATTTATCTTCAGCCTTTTTGTGATGGGACTCACCTGTGGAGCAGATTCCGGCTGAAGATTAAGCAGCACCCAGCTTTTTTCAAGGCTGAGAAGGATGGGCCAGCATCCCTTTGTTTGTGTAAGCAAACAAAAAAACCTCCTTATTGTGATGGTACTCACCGCAGGCAGGAAATACAGGATGCTGTCATAACTGAACACTGAAGACTTCAAAATTCTTGAGCTAAACATTCAAAGTACAGGACTGTACAGTTTCAAAGTGATTAGTGCTTCCAGTTGGCCATTAAATACTACTCTGTATTAAATATGTAAGAATATTTCTCCAAAAAATAACAAAATTAAAACTGTTGTGTTCTGTAATTATACAATTCATACTAGGAATAGGTTAATGTGATACTATATTCAAGTTTTATAATGTTTTGTCTTAAGGGAAACGGTTGTGGTTAATATGCCATAAGTTACTTATGGGCACATTCTTGGGCATCTTGCTGGTCTTGCCCAGAATGCCCAATTACATATTGTCTTTCATTCAAAGATTTAATGCAGAGTGATTACGTATTTAAGCTAAGAGAAATACACTCCTCACTCTTGAAGGTGGTGACAGAATGTACCCTATTGCAAATTACTGCATGCAGTGTTGTATATACTTTCCTCAGTGCTTTCATTAATATGTAAAAAACATTAAATCTACACATTCTGAAACATAATAAGCCTAGCATCCATCCTGAGTTTTCTGATCCTCTAATTTTGTAGCATTCTTGTACTCCATTGTCTATTTTTATTCTATGTCAATATAGCATCTTTGTCATGGGGAAGGATTTGCATTGCTTGAATGAATGCCTCCCATCCCCCCCCCCCCCATGCGCTGTATAATCCTACGGGTTTAGCGCTCCCCCGTGATTTTTTTTTTTTTTCAACAAGTCGGCCGTCTCCCACCGAGGCAGGGTGATTATAATAATAATAATAATCCCTGAATGCTTTTATAAATATTACCTTGATAACACTTCAGGAACACATCAAGTCTTAAAACCCATATAGTATCTCCATTCAGTCTGATCTGAGAAGCTCACACAAGCTTTCTTAGTGCTCATGCAACCCTTTCTGAGATATCCACTACCTTTCCTTCCTTCCACCTAATTTGTACTTCCTAGTAGTCATCCAGTTTTGCTTCTTTCTTTCTAAATGCCCAAACCACCTCAACAATGTTTGGTACCCCACTCCATCTTCTAATTTTATGCTCTGAATTTTATGCAAAATATTTACAGCACACATTGCTCTCCTCAAACATGACATCTCTGCTGCCTCCAGCCTCTTCCTTACTACAGTGTTTAAAGTTATCTCATACCCATATATAGTATGTAAGTGTTGGTACCACTATACTCTAATATGTTCCCCCCCCCCCCTTTTTTTTTTCCTCCACATATAAACTTTTTTCTTTCTGCTGATGCCTTAACACATCGCCTACCTTTTTCATCTCTCATTTATTCTATGTTTTGCCTCATCTTTTGCTGACCCATCTGCTCAGTGCTGTATGACCCTTGTGGGTTTAGCACTTAGTTATACCCATCTGCTGACATGTCCACTCCCACTTTTTTAAACATGTATTCACTTCTTCCATATGCCCTCCAATAGGCAATGAAAGTAACTTTTATCACCTTGCTTTTTTTTCCTCTGTTCACTTTTAATTTCCTTCTTATAGATTTTTTTTTTTAACAAGTCGTCCGTCTCCCACCGAGGCAGGGTGACTCAAAAAGAAAGAAAATCCCCAAAAAGAAAATACTTTCATCATCATTCAACACTTTCACCTCACTCACACATAATCACTGTTTTTGCAGAGGTGCTCAGAACACAACAGTTTAGAAGCATATAAGTATAAAGATACACAACATATCCCTCCAAATTGTCAATATCCCGAACCCCTCCTTTAGAGTGCAGGCATTGTACTTCCCATTTCCAGGACTCAAGTCCGGCTATATAAAAGTAACCGGTTTCCCTGAATCCCTTCACTAAATATTACCCTGCTCACACTCCAACAGATCGTCAGGTCCCAAATACCATTCATCTCCATTCACTCCTATTGAACACGCTCATGCACGCATGCTGGAAGTCCAAGCCCCTCGCCCACAAAACCTCCCTTACCCCTTCCTTCCGACCCTTTCAAGGACGACCCCTACCCCACCTTCCTTCCCCTACAGATTTATACGCTCTCCATGTCATTCTACTTTGATCCAATCTCTCTAAATGGACCAAACCACCTCAACAACCCCTCTTCAGCCCTCTGACTAATAATTTTATTAACCCCACACCTTCTTCTAATTTCCACACTCCGAATTTTCTGCATAATATTTACACCACACATTGCCCTTAGACAGGACATTTCCACTGCCTCCAACCGCCTCCTTGCTGCTGCATTTACAACCCAAGCTTCACACTGTACTTTCATACATTCCCTTCTTTGCCTCCATAGATAACATTTTTTTGTCTCCACATATACCTCAACGCACCACTTGCTTTTTATCCCTCATCAATTCTATGATTAATCTCATCATTCATAAATCCATCCGCTGACATGTCAACTCCCAAATATCTGAAAACATTCACTTCTTCCATACTCCACCTCCCCAATTTGATATCCAATTTTTCTTTATCTAAATCATTTGATACCCTCATCACCTTACTCTTATATATGTTCACTTTCAACTTTCTACCTTTACACACACTTCCCTAATTCATCCACCAATCTTTGCAACATCTCTTTATGGTCTCATAAAAAGAACCACATCATCAGTTCTTTTGTTTTATACAATATTAATTAGTTTAACATCTTTATATGCACCTCATACCCATCCTGTGGGCAGCAATCAAAGGATTACAAAAGTACATAATGGGTCCAGGGACTGGGCTGCAAAGCTTTGATAGTTGAAAAAGTTACAAAGGTAATGAAGTATATACATGTTTATATCTGGTCACAGTTGTAATGAGTTATTAAAAAATGGAATTAATGTTTTTTGGGTGTGTAATGTAACTTGAAGATGTCTCTTCTGATCAGCTTTAAACTTCCCTTGCTGGTATATTCTACTGAAAGGAAGGTCTGCATTTTTATTCAGCTGTGTTGGTCTAGCGCTTAGTTATGATTACAATAATAATAATATTAAGCTCTAAGTCCAAATTTGCCAATTTTATTAGAAAAAATAAGATACAGGGGGACCCACTTATACACCAGGTTAGGTTTCAGGCTACTGTTGTAAAGTGAATCACAATCTTTTTTCACTTTCAGATGCATATAAAAGCCTGATAATATGTTTACACTATCATATACATATTAACCCTTAAACTGTCCAAACGTAGATCTACGTTTTTTCAACATTTGAAAGTATGTAAAAAAAGTAGATCTTCTTTTCTTTTTTTACATTTGAAAAAGTGTAAAAAGAACTTTGATCTACGTTTTTTTCTTTTATTTTTGAAAATACGTAAAAAAACATAGATCTACTTTTGGAGCACTATGCATGTGAATGTAGATCTGCTTGGACAGTTTAAGGGTTAAGGGTAAGGGGGACAAAAGAGATTGTAAAAATTAGAGGAATAAGTTTACTGAGTATACCAGGTTTTAAAAGTGTTCAATAGGGTTATTATTGAAAGAATTAGAGGTAAGACAGAATGTAGAATTGTGGATGAGCAAGGAGGTTTCAGAGTGGGTAGGGGATGTGTAGATCAAGTGTTTACATTGAAGCATATATGTGAACATTATTTAGATAAAGGTAGGGAAGTTTTTATTGCATTTATGGATTTAGAAAAGGCATATGAATGGATAGGACAGCAATATGGCAGATGTTGCAAGTACTATATGGAATAGGTGGTAAGTTACTAAATGCTGTAAAGAGTTTTTATGAGGATAGTGAGGCTCAAGTTAGGGTGTGTAGAAGAGAGGGAGAATACTTCCCGGTAAAAGTAGGTCTTAGACAGGGATGTGTAATGTCACCATGGTTGTTTAATATATTTATAGATGGGGTTGTAAAAGAAGTAAATGCTAGGGTGTTCAGGAGAGGGGTGGGATTAAATTATGGGGAATTAAATACAAAATGCGATGTGACACAGTTACTTTTTGCTGATGATACTGTGCTTATGGGAGATTCTAAAGAAAAATTGCAGAGGTTAGTGGATGAATTTAGGAGTGTGTGTAAAGGTAGAAAGTTGAAAGTGAACATAGAAAAGAGTAAGGTGATGAGGGTATCAAATGATTTAGATAATGAAAAATTGGATATCAAATTGGGGAGGAGTATGGAAGAAGTGAATGTTTTCAGATATTTGGGAGTTGACGTGTCAGCGGATGGATTTATGAAGGACATGGTTAATCATAGAATTGATGAAGGAAAAAAGGTGAGTGGTGCATTGAGGTATATGTGGAGGCAAAAAAACGTTATCTGTGGAGGCAAAGAAGGAATGTATGGAAGTATAGTGTGAAGCTTGGGTTATAAATGCAGCAGTGAGGAGGCGGTTGGAGATGTCCTGTCTAAGGGCAATGTGTGGTGTAAATATTATGCAGAAAATTCGGAGTGTGGAAATTAGGAGAAGGTGTGGAGTTAATAAAATTATTAGTCAGTGGGCTGAAGAGGGTTTGTTGAGGTGATTTGGTCATTTAGAGAGATTGGATCAAAGTAGAATGACATGGAGAGCGTATAAATCTGTAGGGGAAGGAAGGCGGGGTAGGGGTCGTAATCGAAAAGGTTGGAGGGAGGGGGTAAAGGGGGTGTTGTGGGCGAGGGGTTTGGACTTCCAGCAAGCGTGCGTGAGTGTGTTAGATAGGAGTGAATGGAGATGAATGGTATTTGGGACCTGATGAGCTGTTGGAGTGTGAGCAGGGTAATATTTAGTGAAGGGATTCAGGGAAACCGGTTTTTTATATAACCAGACTTGAGTCCTGGAAATGGGAAGTACAATTCCTGCATTCTAAAGGAGGGGTTTGGGATATTGGCATTTTGGAGGGATATATTGTGTATTTTTATATGTATATACTTCTAAACTGTTGTATTCTGGGCACCTCTGCAAAAACAATGATTGTGTGAGTGAGGTGAAAGTGTTGAATGATGAAAGTATTTTCATTTTGGGGATTTTCTTTCTTTTTGGGTCACCCTGCCTCGGTGGGAGACGGCCAACTTGTTGAAAAAAAAAAATACATATTAAGTTAACAATATAGCTAGGCCTAAAAAATGCATATACAGGACATACATTACTTACCTTCAAGTACTTTTATCCTTAGCTTATGAAGAGTGGTGAATATATTAAGTGTAGGAATTCTGAATAAATGAATGGGTATAATTGAAAGCTGCTGTATTTGCGAAACATTGTGCAGTGATGCACTGTAAAGCAGGGTTTGCCTGTACTGGTTTACGTATGATACACAGAGAATGCCTTTTCTGATTGGCTTAAATTTTGAAGTCTGGAATATATTACTTTGAGAAATGTTTGGTATGATTATGGACTGTGTAGGTGTCAATTTGCTAATTTTATTTAACAAATTGGGATGTTGGTTTGTGCGTGATAACTTGAGAATGCATTTTCTGATTATATTCAGAGTTTCAGCACTGGTTTAACTTACTTTGAGGTATTTTTTTTTTTATTATGGTAGTTTAATCTTTATAGGTTGTCCAGCTATTAACCCTGACCTACTTACATGGGAACGCAATCAAAGTACATGCCCAACTTCACCCAGGGCCCTAACTTC